TCTTTACGTTTTTTTTTGCACTCGCAGCAGTTAATAGCGAAAGTCGTTTTCAGCTCGTTTCTTATGTGGGCCAAATGTGCAGCTGCTAGCTACAAGCTAGCCAAAAAACAGGAAAAAAAATGGGCCAACACGCCGAAAGAACTAGGCAACAGGCTAGCCTCAGACAGCAGCTGTGATAAGGTATATAATATATATATATATATATATATATATATAATATATATTTGGGCCAGCTCCAAAGTTTGTTTGATAAATGGTTTCACTTGTGGCACTGACTGCGATATTTCGAACTTTTTGTTTTGGATTGAGGCTCAGCTATAATTTATATTATATTAAATTGTTTATGAAATTTTTGTTTATGTTTATCATATTTGGGTTGACACGAAATTTATTATTATATAAATCAAATTCAATATTATAAGTTATTTTTTATATGAGAATCCTGTTTTAATAGCTGAAAACGAGATTAAAATCCCAGGTTAAATAAAGAAATATTTAAAAATTAATAATATTAAAATAATTATTTATAATAAATTAATAAATACCAGAAAATAAATATATAAGTAAGAATAATTAATAATTTAATAAAAATAAAAAATCTCGTAATTTAAAAAAAATCATAAATTGATAATAAAAACTAACTGATGAAAATATAAATAAAAAAATTATAAAATAAAATTAAAAAAAAACTTAAATAGAATATACTATAATATATAAATTATAATATTAATATTTTCAAAATTTATAAGAACTTGATAAAAATTAAAAAAAAAAATTAAAAAAATTCTTCAAATTTGCGATAGTTTATACAATTGTGCAGATATACACAAAAAGTTTATTGTGATATCAATTGTTAGATATTTCGATATTTCATACGGCCTATTTCAGAATTTGTATATATTAGTTCTGTGCGTTTGTTTACGATATCAAAAAAATCCATACTATTACTACAGGGTATACACATTTAAATTTATAAAAAATTCCTTCAGTTTTGCTTTACTTTAGTATTCAAATAAGTAATATACCCTTTTATAGCGTTTACAAATTAATAATATATAGCACTTGTGTTTGCTTAAACAGTCTGTTTAATTACCTCTCTCTCTCTCTCTCACTCGCTCAAAAACAATTTGCAGTTTGCTTTAACATCCTTTTTTTGTTGCTCCACTGAGGGAATTATCTTCCATTTCACTGACATTCATTTTGATTGCCCATCCCCATACACGACACCCCAACGCCAACTGCAACCCTTGGCCAGTCTCTGTTCGCAGTTTGTATTTTTTTTTGCGTATTTTTCATGATTTTGGCGCATTTTAAGTAATTAAAATTCCTCAGTGATGGCAAATGCATATTTGCCATTCTCTCTCTGTCTTTCACTCGCTCTCCCTCCCTCTCCCTATGTATCTCAGACTGAATGTACAATTGTCTATGTATCTGTAAGTGTGTCTGCATTTGTGGATATTTTGTATCTGTGTTTTGACCGCAGCTATTCTGACTTTATTCTCATTTTCCTATCGATTTTTGCGGTTTTTTGAACGCAATTAACCTTCTGGCTGTGGGCTCTGGGTCCTGGCTCTTAGTTTACTCTGAATATACCCAAACTTTTTGGCCAGATGAGCGAATTGTTGTTGTTCTAGTTGTCGTTGCTGCTCTGAATGCCTTACCCTTGGCTGAGTTTTTCCCATTGAATTTTCTGTCCATCCATTTTCAGTGAAGTTTTCCCCAGCTGTCGACTTGTGTCAATTTTTCATTTGTATTTACTTTTGCTAATCCTTGCCAATAATTTGATGTGGTTCTCGGCTCTGTGGCCCTGGCCGACAGACGCTGCCAAAATTTGCTAACAAATATTTGCGGCATTTAGATTAGGCTCTCGACTCGACTCGACTCGTTTCTCTGCACGGCTTCTCCTACGATTTTGCCATCCATTTTTAGTGAATTTGCGGCTTTCGTGGCGAAATAAAACAACAGCAAAGTATTAATTAAATCGCAGTCGATTTAATATCATTTGTTAGCAATTAATTTCGGTTGTGGATTCATCAAAGGCATCAAATCGAATTCAATTTAAGCTGTTTCTGAAGGAGTGAATGTAGTAAAGTAAGCTTCTTATCTTATAAATGCATTTATCGATATTTGGCGAGAAAGAAACTCGTTTAGGTATTTCTGGGAGTGATGCCAATGCTAAAGATATACATTGATTGAATATTTAAATACAATTTTTTATATTTTAATTTAATATTTATAAATACTTATATATAATATAGCAACTGATGGTGGAGTCATTGTTAGAAGCAATATATCGATATTGATGTGGATAACTTCTCTTCATATTTACGAATTTTATATTATATTAATGAATTAAAAAGTTTATTTTATCTCCTGTTAAAAACGCCTAATCAATAATAATAGTCATTTGAGCGCTCTAATTATATTGTTGTCGATCAATAGAATCAACATAAACAACCTAAATAATATTTATTTTTAGTTAGATTATCTGTCACTGTGCAAGATTATTTAATTAATTTGTTGATATCGTAACGGCTGATTACAGAGTCACTTGAGTCATTATGTTCGATAGTTTTGTTCTCAAGCTTTTCACATTTTCAAACTGTCTATCAAGCTAATAATCAAACTAGCACTAGAACATTTTCCATTACGCTTTTTCCGACAAGCGTGTAGTGACATACGTATGCGTGGCACGTATATGACATGTCCAAAAGTATCGCATAACAATCAGGCACACTCAACGTATAAATCTTGGCGTAAACCCAATTCCGATTGCACAATCCCAGCTCAAATCGGCTAGCCGCAATTTCAAATTAATTGAAGGCCGGAAATTGAAATACAACGTTCACGTTGGATGCTGTGCTAGCCAAACCCCAAATGCCCATCACCCCCGCCGTAACCCGAAGCTCTCTACCAATTGCTTCCCAGCACAATTTAAAAATACATGACAAACGCAGTGGAAATTGCAACAAACCAACGACAATCGTATGAAATGGCCACAACAACAGCTGGATTTCATTGCCATTTGAGCTGCTGTTTCGTATGCTGGCAACGCTTAATACTTTTAACGATTCATCGCATTTAATGGCTGGCAAAAAGTGGGCCTGAAACGAACTGTGCAGCGGCCCTGGCCTCAGCACTTCTGTTTGTGTGCGTCGCCTGTGTGTATGCAATGCATTTTCTTATAATGCAATTTACTTTTGCAGTTGCTCTCGGTTGTCGCCCTCAGTACTTATTCACTCGGCCTGGGTGGGCGTGGCCTGTCGAACTTGAAGTGCAAGTGTAAAAGTGCCAAAGTGGAGCTTGTCCCTGGCACAAACACATATTTATTTTGGCAGATGGACTGGAAACCAAACCAGAAATGCCAGCACCCAAAGCAAACGAAACGCAACTCACACACGCACACACACAGACACAGGCACACACGCACACATATCTGCTTTGCCAACAGCTTGTGCAACATTTTTAATGCATTTACAAACACACTTAATACACACACACGCGCACACTCACACACACACACACACACTCATAAATGCATTACTCGTGCGCATTTTGGTTCCCGCCTGTTGGTTGTTGCCTGTTCCCTTTAGCTTAAGTGTGGGCGTGCCCGATTGCCTAATGGACTGTTATGTCTTATACACATCTATATATATTGTGTGTGTGCGTATGTAGGAGCCGGCTGAAAGCATATAAAATACTGATTGGTTGACTAATACCTTAACTGCTTGTAAAGCAATCAAGAATTGTACAACAGAAAAGGAAAGAAAATAGTCTGAATTACAGATATGACAAGTGGGATTGTGAGTGAGCTATATATGTAAAAATAAAATGAAAACTGTCACCACCTATCGTTGTATTACTTAAAATCAAGATATATATAAAAAGAATTGTACAATTGTAGTGTCTATATTGCTAAAACATTTCCTATCACTAGACTAGTCTAGACTCTTCTGACTACTCTTCATCAGACTACTTCTGCTTCAACATATTCATTCTAATCAGTATTTATTGCTAGAGAGTAGAGAAGTAATCCTAATAATTGTATGCATAAAAACTCGACCACACATAAATTTTAAATGGTCAAATCGTTCCCAAATTTATTTGATCTGGTCGACTCCTAATTCAATATTTAATATTGCATGATGACTAAGTCTGACGTGATGCCAGAGCAGACTGTTTACATCTTCAGTAATTTGTTTAGTCTGATTTCAACTTTATTGAAGTAACATTTTGCAATATCTGATCACACAGCAGGCTCATGGACGCAGCATATTCAGAATTATTCAACATGATTTTCCAGCTATATGAGTTTGAATCTTTACACATAATTAAATTGTTGTATCTAGCTTATCGACTTCATAGTTTACTTTGAGTCAAGTAGAAAAGATTCTGTCGGCATATTGAACAGCTCAAACAGTTTCCATTAATTTTAAAAAATTATTTAACAAAAATGAAAATTTAAAAAACAATTTTTTAAAATGAAATAAATGTCTTATAAAAATATCTTATATATAAAAAATATTTTATATTAATAATAAATAAAACAAATTAAAGGGAAATCAATTTCTAATATTACACAATTTAATATTTTAAAAATTTAATTTTTCTTAATAATTAAAAATTAATATGCATTATATATATATATATATATATATATATATATATATATATATATATATATATATATATATATATATATATATAAATATAATGCATATTAATTTTTAATTATTAAGAAAAATTAAATTTTTATATATATATATATATATAATTTTTATATATTATATATATATATATAATAATTTTTATATATATATATATAATATATATATATAATGGAACAATTGTATTTGATTTTTTTATAATAATTTCTTAGTATTAAAAATAATTTTAAAATTAAATACGTATTAAAAACAACTTAAAATAATATATATATTTTGTATAAAATATTGTAAGGATTGCCATACTAATTCTATTTCTCTCTTCATACTTTGCAGGTCACGAACGACTCAACGAATACATATCCCACTATGAAACACTTAACTATGATCATGAGCACATTAGAGCTAGTCACAATAGGGCGCGTCGATCGGTGACCAAAGATCATTTTGTATATATAAAATTTGCAGCACATGGAAAAGATTTCCATCTTAGATTAAAACGTGATTTAAATACATTTAGTGATAAGTTAGACGTGAGTATTACAAATCCCCCCCCATTCAAATTCCAATAATATATAATATTTTGAAATATACTTCGTGTTCATTTGCAGTTTTATGATAGCAACGGCCCCATTGATGTCTCAACGGATCATATCTATGAGGGCGATGTGATAGGGGATCGTAACAGTTATGTATTTGGTTCCATACACAATGGGGTATTCGAGGGTAAAATTATAACGGAACGTGATGCCTATTATGTTGAACATGCCAAACATTATTTTCCCACAAATCGGACAACGTCAACGTCAACGTCAACGACGACGACGACGTCGATGCCGACGACGACAAAGACCACCGCAACAATATTAGCTCCAACAACAACGGGGTCCAATACGAATAAAACTGCCATTGATAATAAGAGAGAAAAGTTTATACATAAAATTGGTGACACAGCAACAACAACAACAAACACATTCCCAATGTATCCAAGCAACAACAATACCAGACAGACAGAAGCAACAACAATGCCGCCAACAGCAACGAGAACTGAGGATGAACTTGATTTTCACTCCATTATCTATAAGGAGTCGCATGTTGAGGATGCCTACGAGAATGTGCGCGAAGGTAAGTCAAATAAGAAAAGTGAAAAATGTTCACGTTTATTATGGAGGAAGGTGCGAGAGGGGCGTGGGAAGTCTCTTAAAAACTTTGTCATATGATTTATATGCTATGCCAGCGTTTTTCTCTGCTTCTCTCTCCCTCTTTATCTGGTTCTGCTTTGCCCGCTTCAACCTTGAAAATATGTTTGATAACATTTCAGTTCGGCTTTTATGACAGCTGAGCTGTGTCTGTCCCCCAAGTGTTTGCTAATAATTTGCTTGGTCCCAGCGTGTTCGCGGTCTCAACTTGTCAGAGAGTTTTTGGGTCATATAAGTAGCCTTATGTAGCTTACATTCGTTGTGTACAGCTTTGCGGGTTCCTTTACCAAGTGAAGTTTGGCAACAGTGGCTTAATAGCCATCAACAAATATGAACGAAGCAGCTAACGAGTTAAGTGTGACTGAATCGAGGGAGTTTTGTGCGCTTTGTAGACATATTTAACAAAATGAAAAGTTAAACAAAAGCAGAAATCGTGCAAAATATTAACAAATATGACATATGCCAACTTAATGCTTAAGGCAATATTTATGGACAAATTTATTAATGCTTAGGCAGTTGTTGAAATGCGGCAACAGTGCACAAATGGTACTTTGATTTGAAGTATCCTCTATAGAAGTTAAGCATTGAACAGCGCATCCTATCTTAATTAGCAGTCGGGTGTATTCACCTCAACTGAAATATGGCAACAGCGCAGCCTTTCTTATAATCCAATTGATCATCCTATATTCTATGACTGGCATAAGCCCAACAGAAATGTGACAACTGCGCACACGCTGTTTATCTACTTTTTACTGCCATAAAATGAATTGAATTTTGGCAACAGCGCACAAGTTTTTGAATTTAAGCACGTTAAGCTGAAGTGGCTGGGTTTTTGAAGCAAGAAGCTCGAGTGAAATGTGGCAACAACGCATAAATACTTGATTTGCAGCTTTTCTTATTTTCCAGAAATTTGGCAACATTGTATTAGCTTGGGACTTAAATTTCAGCTGAATTGAAATGTGGCAACAACGCAAAAGTGTTTGATTTGCTACTTTACTTACTTCACTGCAATTTGTCTTTTATAAGCTGATTTGAAATGTGGCAGCGGCGCACCCTGTGCTCTGCCCTTATTCAACTGCTTGCCATGAGCTAGGGAAAACTGTATATATTATTACATTTTTAATATGAAATTCGGCAACAATGCATACAATTTTCTTCTCCCAAACAATGTAAAGCGGAAAAGAAATTCTTGCGCAAACATTGCAACTCGCTTCATTCCTTTGCAATGCAAGTCGACAGCACAACTGTGGCACATATGAGTCACAGTCGCTGTTGCAGTCACAACAATGACAATGGCAATGAAACTAGCTGCCACATATGTGTTCATTGTGCATGCAACAACATTCTTGTTGTTGTTGTTGTTGTTTGTTTTGTTGTGTAAGCAACGACAGGTAGTTGTTGTTGCAACAAAAGAGCTGCTGTTGCCGGTAGAAAAAATAAAATACAAATACATATATAAAAGAAAAAAAAAGAAAAACAACAAATCTAATGCATAACTAAACATTTGTAACATGACGCATGGAGCGGGAATGCCCCTAATGCTCACGGGGCATTTGTAGCAAAAATTTGTTGCATGCAATTTGATAGAGAGACAGCGAGGCAGACGAACAACAATAGACAACTTTTGTCGCGTATTTTGTTAAGCTGTGATGTGAGTGTGTCTAATTTTGGGGGCGTGTCATGTGGGCGTGTATGTGTGTGTGCGTGTGCATTTGGGTGTAATCATTTTAATGAGCTTACACAAAAGCCACTTACATTTTAGCTGGCTTCCAAATTGTTTGTTCGTTGTTGCATTTGATTGATGCACTTTACACTGATTCTAACTGATTGTTTAGCTTACTTTTATCTGTCTCTCTCTCTCCCTCCCGCTCTGTGCATGGGAGAAATGTGCTAGATTTAATTAGACTCGTTTGGCTGCCATTGTTATTGCGCCTATTTAGCATATTTTGTGTGTTTATGTTTAGACAAGAGCTTCGAGTGTTGTGTCAAAATGTTTCAAAATGCCTGCCATAAATCAACCTAATTAAAAGTCTTGTCATTTCAATTGATATATTGAATTAATAACAATAATTGCCCTGCTGGGCAGTGTTTATGCAGCGTTTCCACTGAACTGACAGTCAGTGAAGTGTGGCAACAGTTTCAACTTAAGTGTAGCATCATTAATAATTGCGATTAAAACGAAAATGCTAAAATTTATATATATTTATATTTTATAAGATAAGAAAATGAAGAAATTTGTATAAAGTACGGCAACAGTGTCTTTTAATAATATTTTAATTATAAATTTATAACGAAATCAAAACTTAAAGTAAATTGAAATGAATTTAAGTTATAGAAATTTAAGGAATAAAAACATGTTTAAGAAATATAAACAAACAAAAAATTAATAAATAACTCAAACTCTAAATATTAATTGAAAAAAAAATTTGAAATAGAAATGCCAAGTGAAGTATGACAACAGCGCCAGCTAAAGTATAGCAACATTTGATAACTGGTATTAAAATATAAATGTTAATTTTACCTAATGAATACATCAAATCGAATCCCATTTTTGCTAGCTGAATAAATATGAAATTAGTAAAATAGTTGAAACCAATCTACTGGAAACAGCAAGTGAAAAGCGGCAACAATGCGCAGACGTATTCTAATTTCATAAAATAAATTGCATTTTATTTATAATAAAAATATATATATATTTTTTTTGGCAAATCTAATGGTATTTTAATAATGAAAAATTATTCAACAAATTTGTTCGCTAATGAAGTGTACCAGAAATATATAAAACTTTGTTTATGATTTGTAAAACTAATTAAATCCAGGGAATGCAATTAAAATAGGTTTATTAAAACAAAACATAAATTGTTCAAATTGTTTAAAATTGCTGCATTTGCTGACGAACTTACAATTAGTTTGGATTTATTGTGCGCCGCCGCCAGGCGAATTGAAATCAAACAATAAATAATTTCGCCAAATAAACTTGCATTGTCTGCACTTTGTAACTTTTTTACTACTCTTAAGAGGTTTCACTTTAAAGGTTTCTAATTTATTGCCCAAAATAAAAAAAACTTTTGTATGCCAAGGGAGGAAAAAATAACCAGAAGTGAACTTAAGTCAACCGGAGTGCGTAAAAAGTTCAGGGAACTTGGCCAAAGAGCAGGACATAAAGTTCGATTAGTGCAAAGTGCGCTGTTGCCATGCTTCACTTGTTGACGACACCAACACTAACAGTAACAGCAACAGCAACACACACTGACAGAAAGCGCAACTTTTTCTTGCCACCCAAGAGCTCCACAAGCGAAGTCAACAGTAACTCACCCAGTTTTTAGTGCCTTTTATGGCTTAATTGCTGCCCAGCCATTCCGCCAGCGTCTTAAACTGTCCAACTTTATTAGCTACTCTCGCCAAGCACGCACGCAACAAAGTATGCAGAAGGAGCAAAACGAGAGGAGAGAAAAAGCAGCAGCGCTAGGGTGACTGCAGTTGCAAGTGATCGCTGCATAGTTACCCCGTGTGCAGCGGTCAACTATAGCCTTACTCTAGAGCCATGCATCTTGTTGGCCTGTGTAATTAAAAATATTTGTATAGGTAGCTTTTTATTTAATTTTTCTTAAGCAGTTTGCTATATGACTGGGGCACAGAGGATCAATGCAGATGCCTAAAAGTTGAACTTTTATATATATAAAATAGAACTAAATTTCATGTAGAGCAGTGTAAAGTTTTCAAAGCATAAGAGACAACAAATTAAATCTAAACTTTACTATATCAATGTGTGTACAAATATTTGATAATCAAGATATCGATTTTGCTGCAACTATATTTATCTACTGCATAAAAAGATTAAATTTGTTCAATCTGAAAAATTAGCTGGAAATTTTATATTCATATATATCAATAATTATCGATAAAGTGCTAAAATATATCGACTTTGGAGCTGGTATATTTACTGAATATGGAAAAAACTTGCAAATATGTTTGAAAATAAAAATATATATATAAATGAAACAAAATGTATATATTTACTGCTAATCGATATGCACATTGCCGATAAAGTAGTGAAATATATCGATTGTGGAGCAGCAATGTTTATTGAATTTAGAAAAAGATAAAATTCATTTTTATTAATCTAACAGCTTATTATTATTATTATTTATTAACTTATATTTTTGAAATATGGCTTATAATTTAAAGCTATCGATAGTTAGGTAAAATGGAATTGTTATCGAAAAAGTGAGCAATGTATTTGATCAGCGTTTGCTTGGGCAAACCTCTACAGTTAGCTTATGTTTCATTTCACACTTAGTTTTCAATATTATATTTCGATATTTATCGATTGTCATGCAACTTATATGCAATGTCAGCTTTTTTTAAACTAATAAAGGGCAAACTTTTCGCCTGCGGCCTGTTAAATGCGTTAAGAACTTTATTAATTGATACAGGGTATGGCAGGAAAGCAAACGATGTCGAGGTGTTTACGCTTGCAAAGCTTATCAAATATGTAGTGCACTACTCTTGGCACCCTTTCGACCAGCCATTCGCTACCCCATTTAATGCCATTTAGCAGCATATTAAGCTTTGTGCTAGAAATGAGCAGTTGCTGCCAGGAAAGAGGGAGACGGCCAAGGCGAAGGTGTAGAAAGGGGCATAGGGCTTATGGCGCCACTTGCGCGCCCTCCCCACTTTGATTACATTGTTGGGCTGTGTGAATGCGTCTCTCTGTGTGCATGTGTGTGCGTGTGTTAAAGTCAACCAAGCGAGGACACGCATGTTGCAGGACTCTTGGGCTTGACACACTGCCAGCCAGTTGGCAAGTAGCGAAGCGTACACAAGACGTTCCCACACACACAGCAGGGGTTAATACACACGCACGCACGCACACACCGAGGCACACTCACTTCACACACTGACTCCATTAAGCGACTGCAGCAG